CACCCCTTGCGGACGTTCTTTATGTCCATGCACGACTCGCCATACACTTCCACCAGTTGACGATGAATTTCAATTGTTTTAGTCCCTTTTGCGTTCAAAAACCGAATAAATGCGCGAATCTCACACTTCGCAGTTTTAGTAATCGGGAGCTCCATTTCTAACGGCAACGGTGCCAAGACTAAGCGTCCTAGCTACGTGCACGCATGCTTGGTGGTATTGGGGGGAGTGGGGGAAGCAACGAATGCAACAGGGTTGCCAACAGCCGCACAAAAATTACCCAGCGCTTTGGAGACCTTACTTTTGGAATCAGCTACGTAACACATGTGGATTTTCAGATGATCAAATCCTATTGTTATGACTGTTCACATAGCCACTAAGGTTAATCCACACTTTGTCAGTGAAGAAAACCCAATCAGACTCTTCAGTTCCATGGTTGCCAACAAATGTCCTAAACCATCTACAGTACACTAAGCGTTTTTCTTTATCGAGGTCCTTCAGTTCCTGCACACAGCGAACACGATATACATGAAGGTGTAACTTCTTCATCGCTTTCTGAGCACTTCCATAAGAAATCCCAGATTGCGCTGATAGTCTCCTCAGGCTTTTTGAAGGGGAGCGCCGCAACATTTTCTCCATGTCAGCCAGTTTAGCCTGAGTCAAAATGGCCAGTCTCCCAGATCTCTTCCTATCTGAAACTCATCCACATTCCTGAAATTGGTTGATTATTCTTGTTATCGTCGAATTGTTAGGAACTGCAGAATCCAGATATTCCCGATAAAACTCATCTGTGACACGTGCATAAGAGTGACTGGCAAAATAATGTTCCACGGTGAAAACTCGTTCTTTGGAAAACAACATGTCTGTCACGCAATAAACAGATCTATACTGCAGACGTCGTATGACCGATACACAACAAATGGCGTCTACAGTACCACCTAGCTGTTGGAGATATAATTATATTAACTGCAATACAATTTATAACAACTTTTAGTTTGATGTGTGTGACTTTTCGATCTCTGCACATTATAACTTCAATCTTATCTTGTAAGTTCTAATTATGTATGTCACAGAACTACACTAAGATTTAAAAAATCTTAATATGGGTACAGTAATATTTATGCTTCTTTGAAATGGTTTTCATGTAGATATGAATGTAACTGAACACTTATTTAAGCCAAGAAGTTATGTATTTCCTCATATTTGCATAACCTCTTGTATGGGAAAGTAATGTCTTTTTACAAACAAAAATCCAAGCCACATTCTGTCCATAATTTACACCATGTACGAGGGCTATTCAGAAAGTAACTCATTTATTTTAGGCAACTAATGTAAGAGCAAGGCAGAGCTCACACATGCAAGGTACCATCACATGACTCATTTCCCTGTAAACCATCACATAACTGGTCACATAGTGCTTGTTCTTTTCTCTAGAGAGTGAGTTTTGATGTGTCCTGCAATTGATAATCCCACCAGCTGCGAAATTCGCACTGTTATCTGCCTTCTTTATGCTAAAAGTATGAGTGCTGTGGAAATCTGTATTGAAATATGAGTTGTAATGAGTGAAGGAACTGTTAGACAGTGGTATAGAATGTTGAAAGATGGGGGAAGAAATGTTCACAGTGAAGAGCGAAGTGGTCTTCCATCCATAGTAAGTGATGGTCTTGTTCAAAGTGTTGACCAAAAAATTTCTGAAAGACAGTGCTTCACAATTTCAGAACTTTCATGTGAATTTCCAAAAATTTCACACACCGTTCTCTACAAGATTATTATCCAAACAAGCTGAAAAAGTTGAAACAAATGTCAGCCTGCTAAGAAGCTGATGTCAGCTGTCTTCTGGGGCAGGAAAGAAGTGCTGATGATGGAAGTCATGCAACAAGTGACCACAATAATGTCAGAAGTATATTGTGAAACACTAAAAAAAAATGCATAGGACCATTCAGAACAGAAGATGTGAAATGCTGACATCCAGTGTAGTGCTCGTACATGACAATGCATGTCTGCATACAGCTGCTTGCACTCAAGCACTGCTGGAACGTTTCAAGTGGGAGTTGAGCACCCTCCTTTCCGCCCTGATCTCGCTCTGCCTCCTTGAATAACTGGTTGGGATCACAATGCACCAACTATAATGAGGAGTTGATGGAAGGTGTCAAAATGTGGCTGAGCTCACATGCAGTAGACTTCTTTGACACAGGCATACAAAAACTTATTCTCCGATATGACAGGTGCCTCAGTTCCAATGGTGACTATGTTGAGAAGTAGATTAAGTATGTATGTTTTGTATATAATAACCCCCCCCTCCCCATTACTTGTTTTGTTAAAAGCTCACTGGAAGTTACTTTCCGGACAGCCTTCATACATTCTTGTGTGAGAATAAACACAACTTGTGTGAGACTTTCTTCGGAGACATAATTCCAAGTCAAATCAACTCTTTCATAGTATGTTTTGTTATTGTCTGGCTGTTGAAATTGGGTGTGAGTTACTACTTCTAAGGTGTAGTACATGCCAAATTTCCCACATATGTAACTCTAGCAAATTGATGTGTTAATGACTTTTCTCACTACAGTGAAGTTCTTATTATAAGTCATGCTTGTTCTGTTGTAGTTACTGTATTCCCAAAGCCAGATTTCTACTTCATCATCAATCTCTTATGGAGAATGGAAAGAAAGAAATATGGAATCATGTCTCATGGTTATTGTGTCCTTATGAAATTTGCTTCAGAAGCAGGGCCACTATTTGTAATCAGTTGGCACCAGAAATGGACAAATTATAAGCATTATAGTAGCAGTAACAAATGTGTAATGATAATATCTTTGGAAATATTATTTACTCCCTGAATATTTGAGTTCAAGTTGTGCTGCAGTTGCCAGATGTCTTCTTTTCCATTGTTCCACTCCCCTTCCACCCCCAACAGTCAGATAAATGTGCTATTTTCTGCCCTTATAATGTGAGCCTTTCTCATTGAAACTTTTTAATTCCCCTTAAAATAATAATGTACCTGCTCAGGTAACACTATGATATTTTGTTCATTTTTATTAAGTATTGTCATAATTGAATTCAACATATCTCCATATCATTGTTTCAGCTACAAATCAAACTGGCAGTGGCTGTGATGAAGTGATATGTCAGTGTGGATTGCCAGCTAAAAGGTACAACTGTTTTCATCCATCAGAATTATAGAAAAGGCACCTGTTTTGCATGTTTCTGTTGTCTCATATGTATGGGTATCCTGGCTGAAGTTTCTCATGATTTCTCTTAATCCTTCAAGGCAATTGCTGTTAAAGAAACTAAGATATCCCCTTTGACCATGATGAAGCTCGACATCAATTTCACAGTGTTTGTCCATCTGTCTGACTGCATGCAGCATCTTGAGAACCATTAACCTTTAACGGCCGAATGTTTTATATATATATGTATGACGTGGGACACGTGCACTCTTTGGGAGTGCTTACAGTTTGACCTTGGGTTTGAAACCAAGGAGTCCTACAAACTGTCTCAGATTAAGAAACTGAAGTGAAACAAATCATTTCACGGATGCCGTATACTCGTACTCCAAGTGGCGGCCGAATGTTTTAGATGGATAGGTAGGTAGGTAGGTAGGTAGGTAGGTAGAATGACACATTGTAGCAATGTAGGGATAGTGTGCAATAGCTATGTTTTCCTATTTGATTTTGAACTGTTCCTGTCATGCAGCAAGTGTATAAAATAGGGAATATCTCGATCTTAAGGCCTTTATCACATTTTAAACAATATAAGTCATGCCATAGTTACTGGTACAATGTATGTATGACTACTGCAACAAGAACTGCACTTTATATTGTGACGTGATGCCTGAAAGCCAGAATATTGGAGTCAGATCAGAGGTTGATTTCCTAGGCAGTGAGTATTAACAGAGTACATTCCCATGACAACAGGTTACCGTGTCATTATTACACATGCACTTCCATGGAAACACTCGACTAGGCATATAGGTTACCGCAGAGCTGGAGGTGTTTCCATGATAATGCGTGCTTAGGCAACAGTTACTGCAGATACAAAATGTAGAAGCAAATATGAAACAGAAGACATATGTGAATAGACACAGAGTTCAGAAATGAAGGCAGAGCGCAGAAATGAAATCAGTAGTTCAGAAGTGAAGTCAGAGAGAACACAGAAAGTGTGTGAACTGTTATCATTGAGTGTAATTGTGATACTGACGTCAAATAAATCCATCCAGTCTAGAATTCACAATTATTAGTCATAGAACCCCGAACACATGACAGTATATTCATCTTGACATGTAACAACAGTTTGTTAGAGTTCAATATGTTTTGAGTAAAGGCTCCTTAATTAACAGGAACTTAAATAGGAAATGTTACAAAAATCAAGTACTCATATAATGTCATTTTAAGTGAAGGTACACAAATTCAAGCCACACATTTAGATTTCAAATTGGTTTGATTCTTACTCACAGCATATGTTAATTTATATTAAGTGACTTAAGTGAAATACCAAATGTACGTTCCCTCTTCTTCAATTTTGGGCAACACTTAATACTGCTCCAATGTCGTCAGCAGTTAGCCACAAAAAAGAGACAGCATTCCCAGGCTGTGTTGAGCTGAGTCACGTATATTTAACTTCCGATAGATTGTCAGTGTTCATATTGTGACGTATTGTGCTATGGAAGATATTCCCTTCCCCACCAGTGGTGACGTAACAACATCGGGCACTCTCACTACTATGGTAACAGGCCAGTCAACACTCCGCTCCCCTCCCCCGCGTTGATGTAGCGGAGGAATGCCGCAATTGCTATGCAGCAGTAAATAACTCTCGACAGTGTTGCCCAGCAATGCCTGTAAACACAGTGACTAGGCAACAAGGAAGCAAGACATTTTCCCGTTATCTGGCTGAGGGTTTATAACAGAACTACACTGCCTATGACTTTGACTTTTGTTTGAATACTTCCATCGTAGCCTTGCAAGCGGAAGGAGGTGACGAAAAGGGAACCCAGTGCCTGGGAGTATAATTATGCCCTCCAGGTTAGAGGAGTCTCGAATCCAAGGAAGTAAAATATGATGATGAGTCCAGCGGGACTCGATCCGAGAATTGCTGCCCTGGGAGGGCCAGCAGCAATTGTAAATGACAGATCCATCCTCTCGTTAGAGAAGGCGCCCCACATCAACAAACCGGCAACAGTCTGACAGTAATAAGAAATCTGGTCTTGTCCCACAGGAGGGATGCTTGACATCAAAACAGACTGACAGACTTCTGTCTGTCGTAACATAACTTAAGAGTCAGTTAAAATGCAGCAGTCACAGGAAGAAGACCCGAACACGTGGTTAGAAGATTTGATTTGATAATTTGTGATACTGCCGAGGGCAGTAGTTGTGAGATTGTAAATTGTGTGATTGTAAGAGTGAATGGGGAATAATTTCACTATATTCAATATGATGTAAAGTTATTTGTCGTGTGTCACACACCCAACATGTGACAATATTAACAATTTCTCCTTATAAGGTATAGTTCTCCGGCTGCTTAACTAATTAAGCACTATGCCAAAAAGGCATATGGGGGAGTGGATGTATAGATCCACATGTTCTTGACCTCAGCACTGGCTTGCGGTGAGTGGTCAGCTTCATGCCTCAGCCGCTTTACCCCAGGGGAAAGAGCCCCTGACACCTATTGGATAGGAGGCCAGGTGGGCAACAGATCCAGAATTGTTAAGATTCACGGTTCTTAAATTGTTCTTATTCCATAAACTGCAGAAATCTCTCAAGCTGTCTAGGACTGGAGTCTGTTTCATATTTCCATGATGAGGACAATAGCAATAAACCCTTGATTAACAATAATAAAAATAAGCACAAGTTCTGGGAAGAACTAATTGCTAACTTTCCTTTGCTATGACATGGACCATATAGAAAATAATGTACCTAACAGTTCTTCCATCATTTTGTAAGTATTTGTTACTGCTGGAACATGTTTACCAAGGTGTTGCCTAGGAATAGGGAGAAATTGACAGACATGCAAACAGCAAGGTGATCTCATAAGCCTACTTTTATTTTTTTCAAAATGAGGAAAGTAAGCAACAGATAATCTATCATACTGTCTGAAAGCATTTCTCATATTGGAATAAATGCTTGACCTGCTCAAGGTAATAACTGTGTGTCATGCTCACACCTTTCCCTGGAACTGATAGCACACACTTCCCACAGTAGCAAAAATTGAAAAGGCAAATGGGTTATTCATCAAAAACAAGCTAAAATATTAATAAAACATAATGTCACATATTTAGGGGTGACTATAGACAGAGTATTTTTATCCAATATTCTTTTCTCAAGGTTAGGTCCATGCATAGATGAAATTATTGGGTATCATCAGTGTGGGTTTCGACGTAATAGATCAACTACAGATCAGATCTTTTGCATTCGTCAGATATATGAGAAAAAATGGGAGTACAATGAAACAGTATTTATAGACTTCAAGAAAGCCTATGATTCAGTTAGGAGGGAAGTATTGTACAATATTCTGATAGGGTTTGGGGTACCCATGAAACTAGTTAGGCTGATTAAAATGTATTTAAACGAAACTTGTAGTAAAGTCTGTATAGGTAAACATTTGTCTGATATATTTCCTTTCCAGAATGGTCTAAAACAAGGAGATGCTTTATCGCCACTCCTTTTCAACTTTGCTTTAGAATATGCCATTAGGAAGGTCCAGGAGAACCAGGTGGGACTGAAATTAAACGGGACACATCAGCTGTTGGTCTATGCCGATGATGTGAATCTGCTGGATGATAATATACAGGGGATGGTCAAAAATATGGAAACACCTCATGAAATGCATGCCTGAATTGAAATGTTTATTTTAGCGATGTTTGTAGGTCACACTGTCATATCTGCCCAACACCACTACCTGTACAACCTACACAATACGTTGCAAGCTTCATTTGTTGTCGAGACAGTGTTCTGTGCAATTTTTTGTGCATCACGTCAGAGCTAACAGAATTCAAACGTGAGCAAATTGTTGGGGCCTGTATGGTGGGTGCTTCCGTAACCAAGGTAGCTGAGATTTCTGGTGTTGTGCGAGGCACAGTATCCAAGATTATGACCGCATACAGGAGGACTGGAAAAAACCGCATCCGATAAAACACCAGCATGGACGGAAATGTATGTTGAGTGATCGAGACAGACGAACATTGTGTAGGATTGTGACAAAAATAAGAAGACTACAGCTGTAAAAGTGACTGCTGAACTGAGTGTCATGCTCACAAACCCTGTCAGCACCAAAACAGTACGAAGGGAACTCCACAAGCAGGGTATTTCTGGACGAGCTGCAATTCCAAAGCCACTCATCGGTGATCAGAATGCCGCTAAGAGGACTGTGGTGCCGAAGTCATAAAACCTGGACTATGGAGCAATGGAAGACAGTCATTTGGTGGGATGAGTCCACCTTCACACTGTTTCCGACTTCTGGCCGAGTTTACGTCTGGAGAACGCCATCCCAAGCTTACAATCCAGATTGTTTGCTGCCAAGAGTGAAACATGGCCAGGGTTCGATCATGGTATGGGCAGCCATATCATGGTATTCTGACAGATCCATCATTACCCTGCAAGGTCACGTCACTGCCAACGACTCTGTGACCATTTTGGGCTACCAGATCCATTCCATGGTGCAAACTTTGTTCCCTAATGGTGATGCCATTTACCAAGCCAACAATGCCTGTGTTCACATAGCTCACATCGTCCAGGACTGGTTTTCTGAGAACAAAGATGAAGTGTCACATCTGCCATGGCCCCCACAATCGCCAGATATCAATATTATGGAGCCTTTATGGTCTGTTTTGGAGAGCAATCTGCTTGCGCACTACCCATCTCCATCATCAATAATAGAACTTACCATGTTTTTTCAGGAAGAATGGTACAAGATTCCCTTTCAAATCAAACCTCTATTTATCCATTCCAAGGAGACTGCAAGCAGTTCTGCAAGCCAGAGGTTGTCCTACACCATATTAGTCATGGTAATGTGTTTTTGTTGGGTGTTTCCATATTTTTGTCCATCCCCTGTAGATACTATAAAAAAACACACACAAACTTTAATTGACGCAAATAAGGAGGTTGGTCTAGAAGTAAACACAGAGAAAACTAAGTATATCTTGCTGTCTAATCACCAA